TGGAAACCCTATACAGGGTTGTTATGAGTCAGAACAGACTTGACAGCACTTACAACAACAATTATCAGGGGAAGGCAAGATAAAACCAAAAAACAAAAAACAAAACTAAAAATGAGATTCTATTCCATTCTAACCTATCAAATTGACAAAAATGAAAAATTCTAGAGAGAATATGGAGTCATGAAAAACAACAAGAAAAGAAAAAACACTAGGAACAGACAGACGACCATCAACAACAGAATAGATAAATTGTGGTGTGGTTGGTTGGTTATGTGCTATGGAGTCAGGTCGGGCTCATAGTGACCCTGTATAGGGTTCCTAAGGCTGTAAATCTTTAAGGGAGCAGAAAGCTTCATCTTTCTCTCATGGAACAGCTGATAGTTTCAAACTGCTGACCTTGAGGTTAGCAGACCAACTCGTTGCTACCAGAGTTACCACTATGCTATCAGAGCTCCTTAAATTGTGGTATAGTCATTAAATAAAATATTATGTAACTCTTCAAATAAAGTAGAGCCAAAAGCATCATATGGATAAATCTCAAAAATATAATGTTAGCAAAACAAAACAAAAGTTAAAAAATGATTTGGTATACTCAACCATTTTTGCCAAATAATAAATAGACTAGGCTTACTGGTTGAATAGGGAGTGGTAGAACCCCATGACTATGCATGTTGGTTGCCCTTCAGTTCTGGAATGGAATTCACCCCTACAACTCCATTTTCAGCCAACCAAGATAAGTATGGAGTCTTGGTGTGGCGCTGTAGGATTAGCACTATACAGCTAACCACAAGGTTGGCAGTTCAAACCCAGCAGCTGTTCCTTGGAAACCCTATACAGGATCTCTATGAGTCAGAACTGACTTGTTGGCACATAACAACAAGTAGATAGGAACACCAACACTAGTGAGGTACACACACCATAAAATGGTCAGCCATTTGCCATCAAAAGGGCAGCATTTATCTGAGGACAAAATTCAGAAAGGTTGGAAAGAAGGAGGAATGGAAACAAGAAACTCAGAGAAGATGTGGGATAAGTGATGTTAATTGAAGGGATTGCAATCATTGATATGAAATGAATCGGGCTGTGAACCTAAAGGTCAGCAGTTCGAAACTACCAGCTGCTCCACGGGAGAAAGATGAGGCTTTCTGCTCCCGTAAAGATTTACAGCCTCAGAAACCCTGTACAGAGTGGCTATGGGTCGGAACCGACTTGATGGCACTTAACAACAACAACATATGATTTGTTGAGTGTAAACCTGATGGTCTGCTCTGTTAACCACTCAATTCACAATAATAAGTATGAAGGGAAAAAAAGTTATAGAATGCTATATACAGAATGGACTGAATTATATCCCTTCCCGCCCCGCCCCCCCAAAAAAGACACTTAGCTATCCTAACCCCCTGCTATCTGTGAATCTGACCTTATTTGAAAATAAGGTCTTTGATAATCTAATCAGTTAGCATGAGGCCATACTAGAGAGAGGTGGATCTAATCCAATTGGGATGGTGTCTTATAAATGAAAACAGACCTGGAGAATTGGGCAGAAAAAGACTGACCATGTGAGGATGGAGGCAGACGGCTGCAAACCAAGGAACAACAAGGACTGCCAGGAGCCACCAGAAGCTAAGAGCAGGCATGGAACGAACAGTTTCTTTCAGAGCCTTTAGTAGGAATTAAGACAGCTGACATTCTATTTAGACTTCTGGCCTCCAGAACTGGGAAAAAATATATTTGTTTTTTAAAACCACTCACTTGGTGGTATTTTGTTATGGCAGCCCAGGGAAATGAAGAGTTACTTACATAACAATTTAAAACATGCAAAATATTACTACCGTTTGTTCACAACTATGCACACATGTAGCAAGAGTGCAAAAACATGCATAGGATGCAAAACACCAAGTTTATTCAAAAACATATTACCAAAGGAGAGAGGGAGAAGAGCGAGCTCAGGAAAGAGATCTACCCAGGAAGTTTCAACAGTATTGTTTTTATTGTTAAAAATTATATCTGCAAATCAAAACAACAATGAGATATCATCTCACACCAGCAATAACAGCAAAGATCAAAAAAGTAGAGGACAATAAATGCTGGTGGGGATGTGGAGAGACTGGGACACTCCTGCATTGCTGGTGGGATTGCAAAAGGTCCAACCTCTCTGGAAAGCAATATGGCGCTTCCTCAGAAGGTTGGAAATACAAATACCTTATGATCTAGCAATTCCTTTACTTGGTATTTACCCACAAGAAATACGAGCCATAACACGGGAAGATATATGCATACCAATGTTCATAGCAGCACTATTTACAATAGCAAAAAGATCAACTGAAGAATGGATAAACAAACTGTAGTACATACACACAATGGATTATTATGCTACCTTGAAGAATAACAAGGAAGCTGCAAGCCACGGCATAACATGGGTGAACTTTGAGGACATCATGTTGAGTGAAATTAGTCAGTCACAAAAGGAGAAGTACTGCATAGGACCACTACTGTAAAAGACTAAGAAAAA